GAAACCGTTCATCTTCAACACAACACCAAGCCGTTCATATTCTCCAATCGGCGACTCTCAACAACACGAAGAACCATCACCACTCTGAAGAAATTTCATAGTTCCTGACTTCCGATTCACAGAAATGAGGAAAAAAAGTAATATCTCTCTTCACCTATTCATTATTTTTCATTCAAATTTGTATATTATTCTTTCATATTTCGTATATATACATTTTACATACTTCAAAATGTATAAACCCTCTTTCATATATAATCCCCTGTTTTATAACATTCTAGCCCCCTATTTTTAAACATTCTAATCCACTGTTTTTACACATAAATCCCTGTTTTTACACATTCAACACCTTATTCTTATTCTTGTTGTTCAATATTGGTTTTTCTTATTGTTGTTATTTTTGAATACTTAATCTTCTCGTTGTTATTGTTGTTGTTTACAAAATACAATGGGCTATTCCTATTGTTGATACTGTTTATAAAAACTGCAACATCATACAGTTTCATTTCATCACTCTACAAGTAACATATTTAAATTTATTCAAACTGCAAATGAAACTGCAAAATTACACAGTTTAATCACTACTCAAAACAAATAGCTAACTTATTATAAAGTGCGAATCAAACTATCAAATTATACAGTTTCGTAACTGTTACCAACAAATACATATAACTTCATATTAAACTGCATATAAAACTTCAAAATTATACAGTTTTGTCACTATATTACTCATACCCTGCTGTCGCTTTCATTTTTTTAGAAATAGTTGTCGGAAGATATTGGAAGAAACAAACCCATATGCCCAAAAATCCAATCAGGGATTTAAGTATCTTCCCTTTTGAAAGTCTGTCTCCTGTATCCACTGAAATGCCACCAACATCTCCCCCTCCACAAAAAACCCAACCACCACAACCAAAAACAACCAAACACCACAGACCCCACCAAAAAACCCACAAAACAACCACACTACCTACAAGAAAAAGCACAAGAACTACACCACAGACCCCACCCACACAACAAACACCAACCACACCTCCAACCACAACAAAAACAAACAAAAGAAAGCCAACAAAAAAACAAGAAGCTCCTCCAACCAAAAAAAGAAAGCTCCAAGAAAGCCAATCAACTACCATAACAAAAACCAAGGCATCAAAAGGGAAAAAAGCAGCAGTCCTTGCGAAGAGAGTCCAACAATTTAATTACCGTTCCAATATCGGAACAGTAATCAAACTGTTGAAGGGGGTCAAATTCACAAAAGCCCAACAGACAGAGCTGGAAAAAATCCCTTTTTGGCTCATTATAAATGCTCTCTCCTCAACACAACTGAAGGCCTCTTGGTGCAAATGCTACAATTCCATTGTAGCAGAAATGACAACACTCTACAACAAAAGAAAAATAGCATTTATACTTGGCAAAAAAGAAATGAAACTCAAAAACAGTGATGTCAAACTCATTTTTGGTATCGACTGTGGAGAAGACAGCATCACCACCAAATCCTATGCAAGACCAAAGGATTTTGAGCTTCCATTTTACAAACGAAGATGCAAATCAGTAAAGAGATTGGATGGTAAGTCTTTGAGCAAAATGTTTCAACAAACAAAAAAAGGAAAATCAACCAATGATCTTCAAGATCTTGCAAAGGTCATCACCCTTTACTTGTTCTTGAAACTTCTCATGCCTACAACAGGCCATGCACTCAGTTGGAGTTTCCTCAACTATGTTGACAATCTCAACAACATCAAGAAGTACAGTTGGGTTAAGGCAATAAAACACACACTCATGAATTCAATGGTAAATGCAAACAACAACCCAAGGCATGTCACTAGATGCGTCATCTTACTCTTGGTAAACACATTACTTAACTAGTTCACACAAAAACATCAGATATCTACCTATTTCTAACTATCTAACATATTTCAAATTTTTTTTACAGTACTAGTACTGTGAGCACAGTAAACTCCTCCGACCATCCAACAAAGAAGGCTTCTCAAGATTTATGAAATGGAACCTTGGCAAAATGTACTCCAAGTGGAAACATATCAGCATTGCTCACTTTGAAAAGGTATTCAAACTCTTCTATACTATCATAGCACAAATCTATTCAGCACTCATTTCACAGTCATTATAGTAAAAATCATGTTATGAAACTGTCAAATTCTTCAGTTTCAAACAACATATGTTCAACACTTGACACACATTATTCACAGTACAAATCATATTATGAAACAGTAAAAGTTTGCAGTTTCAAAGCACATACTTATTTAACACCACTCATGTTATGAAACTGCAAAAGTTTACAGTTTAAACACACAAATCTATTTCACATCACTCATATTATGAAACTGTAAAATTTTTCAGTTTCAAGAAACATATTTCGACACTTAACCCACATTACTCACAGTACAACTCATCTTATGAAACTGACCAATTTTACAGTATTACTGATATATGCCACATTGTTCCAATGTAGGTTAACCAAAGTGCTTTAACCCCAACTGAACAAGAAATACAGTTGTTGCATATCAATCAAAGCACATCAACAAACTCTTCAGTAAAGAAACATGACCACAAAAAGGACAATAAGCGAAAAAAGAAAACAAAAGCAACAAAAAAAAGAGACTTCTAGACAGTGATGAGGATGACTTTCTCGAAGAAGAACATCATTCAGAATCAGAATCACAATCAGAACAAGAAGAACAATCCTATCCGTCTATCTAGAAAGCAAAAATCACAAGAAGAACCAGAAAGTGATGAACAAGAAGAAGAGAGTGATGAAGAAAAAAAACAAGTGACTGACGAAGAAGAAGCTGAAGAAGAAGAAACTGAAGAAGAAGAACCTGATGAACAACAAGACAATGATGAAGCAGAAGAAAGACAAGAAGCAAAATGTGATCAACCAAAAGACACTGATGAAGAAGAACAACAACAACAAACAAACCAACAACAAGAAGTCAATGAACAAGAACTGACAAACCAACAAGAAGAACTCCAAGAGAAATCTGACATATTTCATGCACAAGGTAAACTATTGTCTAATACTAAAGCATACTGTAAAATTTCATTAAACTAACCAAAACACAATCCAACATTTTTATAGGTCATGACCAAGCACAAACACCAACCAAAGAGGACGACAAGGACAAGCTCATATCAGCCATGAGAGCACAAATGCAAGATATAGAACAAAAATTCATGGCTGAATTGCGTAAAAAAGAAGATCAATTGAAGGAAATGTCCACCAAAAAAACTGGCAGTCCCCAACAAAGATCAATGGTCAGAGAATCAAACAAAAGTCAAGAAAACAAGCACATGACCCAGATTTTGAATACCAACCAATGACAAAAGCCAAAGAAGATACAAGGAACAAGACACAAACTGCTGCTGATGTACCTAAACCAACAGAGGGTACCGATGAAGAAAAAGAGAAGAAGAATGAAAAGAAAAAAAAAAGAAATCAAAACAGAGACAGAACCTGCTACTGAACCCGAGCCAAAAGAGGGTGTTCATGAAGCAAAACAACAACAGAAAGAAAAGATGCAAGAAGATATTGGCCAAGAGAAAGCAGTTGCTGCTGAAACCAACCCAAAAGAGCATGCCAATCAAGAGAAGACACAACTTCAAGTATTGGAAAGTGATGATGATTTCAAAGAAGAATCAATCCAAAACAAGTCACTCGCCATTTCTTGCCGCAAAACAAACAAGGTTTGGCATAGCCTATCTAAAAAAGACCAAGACCAAATTCAACTTATCAACAACACCCAATCAAGTGCTTGTGTCTAGTCTGGCAGCGAAGATGAAAATTGCGTATACTTTTCAGATATATGCCGATTGACCAACAGGGAACCCTTATATGGGAATGTAGGTCTCTAACTGCAGAATTTTACAGTTTATGTTCATATTCAATAACTTATTCCACAAACCTAACACATTCTCATATATAACATGTTTCAGGTCATTGATGCCTTCTCAGAAAAGCAATTGGCACTCCAACTAACCATTGAAGAATTTGAGAAAAATGATCTAGCCTTTGCAAGAAATCCATACGCGGGAAGATCTTACGTTTTCTCAACACTCATCAATGTAAGCAAAACTTAACATATATTTCAACTGTAAAATTTTCTACTTTCTTAACATGTCTTACTACATAGTTTTATAAAATATTTCAAACATATATATAACTTACAGACTCCACTACAAAACCAAGATCAAGCACTGAGAGAAAAAATGATAGACAACCATTTTCCAAAAGCAATGAAAAACAGATATATCCATTTCCCAATCAACCACGACAATCATTAGACAATTGTGGTCTTTGACAATGCTGATGGGATATGGAGACACTATGACTCTTTGAGACCAGCAAAAGATTGCCACAACAAGCACTTTGAAATTGCAAATAAAATTGTAAATTAAATAAAATTTCCTACTTAGTTCCATTCCTTTAAAAACATCTCAACTCATCACTATAACTAACAAAAACACCCACTAACTATTTTGTAGCAACAACATCAACTGAGATGGAATAAAGCATTACTCAGCAATCAAGGAAACATGTCATCATCTCAAGAGTGCGAGACAGTAATTGCATCAATTGAGGAATGCCTACAACAAACCCCACACTCGTAAGATACAAAATCAATAAACTAATCTTCCAATATGCTAAATTTTATAGTTTTACCTAACTAATTAACTTCATCTAAAACTTTGCAGGAATGATTGTGCAATCGCCGTCTGCAATATTATCAACCAATATATCAACTGGCAACCTGTGCAGAAATCACTTCGACCAACTGAGTGGGTCAAATTTCGAGCAGAAATCGTCAGTCAATTCCTCAATGATGAAATCCGATCTTGGAAAGTCGAGCACTACCAAATGTTGAAAAAACATACCAAACCATAGAAACAATGAACAAACTTCTTGACAATACAAATATCATATCTTTGTACTTTTTTTTTTTCTTTTTTAACATGTGACCAGTACTTTATATACTTTTGGGAATGATCTTCTTCTGGTTATTATGATGAAAATGATTGTTGTCATTGATGTTATTATTGCTCTTCTTCTTGTTATTATTATTGTGCTTGTACTTCTGATTGTTTGTGTACTTGTTTGTGGTTGCATATATTTTTATACAGTAAAAGTTATTTCTAATAATTCTTCAAACTGTAAAATTATGTAGTTTCATCAGGTTGTTTCTAATAATTCTTAAAATTACAAAATTATGCAGTTTCATCAAGTTGTTTCTTATAATTCTTAAAACTACAAAATTATACAGTTTCATTACTCAAACAAAATTTATGCTACACAATTATGCATCCAATTTCATTACTCAACAAATAGATGAACTACATTTCAAAATTGAAAATAAAACTGTAAAATTTTACAGTTTTCTCGCTATAAAATATGAAATAAATGAATCATGTAGTAAAACTGCATTTCAATATAATAGTTTCAATAAGAAATTTTCAACAACCTTCTCTGCATTCCATAAAAATAAAACTAACCAAACCTACAAAAAAAAATGACAATAAAAAACAAAACAAAACTGTTACAAAACAATTTCAATAACTAAAGAACACATCAAAAAACAAAAAACAATTCAACCAACTTTATTCATTACTTCCATAATACCAAGTATCACATTTTTTATTATCATAATTCCTCAAATTCAAATACAAATCCAAAAGAATAGACTGTGGCCTCAAATAGCAGCCTTGCACGTCTTCTTATTGTGATTCCCATATTTCAAGCACCTCACACACTTGATTTGCTTTACATTCTCACCCCTAGAAGGTATCCTCTTCTTCTTGTTCCGCCCGGGCTGTTTCTTCGTTATAGGAGGTTTGATAATCGAACTACTGGCACCATCAAAGTCAAATCTCTCACTTGAAGAAACTGGATAAACAGATTCCTTGTATGACTCTCTAAAACAATCTACATGAAAAAAGGGATCAATGAAATCATATACATCTCTACCACTACTACACAAAGCATGCATAGCATGACAACAAGGAAAACAATTCAATTGCCATTCATGGCAAGAACAAGTCTGTCTACCAATATCAACATAAAAAGAAATAGAAAAATGAACCTCAAACACAGTATCATTAGCAACAATCACATCCCAAGACTTAGCTAGCTCCAAAGAGTCCACCAACTTCTTTTCCATAACTGGACACAATTTCGTAATCCATCTTTTAGATTCAGCTCTTCTATTCGACAATTGAGTCATGATTTGAACCCTAATCATATCAACCATACAAGTAATAGGTAACTCACGGGCCCCACCAATCCAATTATTATAAGACTCGGCAGCATTAGATGACATCTCACCATATCGTTTCCCTCTAAAAAATACATTCGCCCACTTATCATTTTGCAAACCATCCAACATACTATCAACTCTACAATTCCCAGCAATACGCCTCAATTTCTCCATATAATGTTGGAAAGAAGCAACCATTGGCGCATAAGCACATTTAACTAATATTTTCATCAAACACAGCTTATAGTTAGTACGAAGTCCCACCAATTTGTCAATCAAATTTCTCTTCAAATGATTCAAGCAATATGCATGATTTGCATTGGGAAAAACCACTGAAAGAGCGTCTAGCAATCCATGTTGACGGTCTGACACAAAGGTCAATCTCCGGCCTGAACCAACACACTTTAACAACTGACTTAAGAACCACATCCAATTATCTTGATTTTCAGCATCAACAATCGCAAAAGCCAAAGGAAACAGGCATGCAAACAAAATAACATGAAACTGCAAAAATTAACAGACTCACAATACAATAAGACGCTGACAAACCAAACCTATACTAACTGTAAATAAATACATACCTTGATTACCATCCTTTGATGTTGCTGCAAACAAATGCCCCTTGTAACGCCCCTTCAAGAATGTACCATCAACAAACAACAACGGACGACAAAATTGAAAGCCATACAAACATCCATGAAATGCCACAAACAACCTCCGAAAACACCCACTACTTTCATCCACATCTAATTCAACACACACTTCCCGGATTCGTTCTCATGGCCGTCTCAAGGTACCATCGAAGTTGGTCAAAAGAAGTTGCAAAATCACTAAACAACCCACCTCTTGCCTTTTCAACTCCTAACCATGCAACCTGATAAGAAACATCTATACCATATTGCTTCTTCAACTTTTTTTTAACTTCAACAGGACAAGTCAACGGATTATCACTAATATCATTTTGCACAATATCAGACATAAGTCTAGAACCAACCATTTTGGTACAAGATCTACGAGCAACAACCCCACAAGTATGCACATTATCCAACTTCATTATAAAAAAAATACCGGAATTCATTAACACCCTTCCATGCACAAACCATTTACAACTCGTAGACGACTTCATCATACATTCAGCAGTTACTCTTGTTGCATCGTTCTTCAAATAATTCACTGCAAAACCACACTCAACTACATACTTAGCCAATGCAATGTGGAACGCCGGCACTCCACCTTCAAATTTTTGACCAACACTATGTATAATCCCCTTCCAACTAGCAGACAACAAAACTCTCTCTGGTTCTGGATAAAAACTAGGCAACAAATCACCAAAATCATCACAATCGTTAACCAAAGAACTCTCACCAATTACAGAATCAATCCTACAAGAATTACTATCATCAACCTCCACAATTCTCTTATCACCCACAACAACATCAACAACATGACAACCACTACCACCTACCATTGACAGCATATTCCACAAATCATCATCACATTCAACAATACAATTAGAATATCCAACAATAGAGAAAAACAAACAAAAGTTACCAACACTCAACTCCTTGAACTTCACACATATTTTCTCAATAACTTCATCATAACTACATCCCTTACTAATCTTAATAACAACACAACAATTACTGTATTTGCACATTAACATGAAACACCCCTCCATACTACAAAATCACAAACTAACAAACAATTGTTCACAGATTCCAAACTGCAAAATTAAACAGTTACAACATATCAGTACCAACACTGCACAATTCACAATTCTAAATTGCAAAATTATACACTTACAACATATCAGTATCAAAACACCAGAATTCGCAATTCCAAACTATAGCTTCAAAACACATTATACTATACAACAAACAAAATCAACAAAATCAAAATCATTACACTATATCACATACAAAAATCAAATAAAATAAATATCAAACAAACAAAATTTATCACAAAACAAAGAACTAAAACAACATTGCCAAACACAAACCAAATATCACGCAAATTTGCTTATCTATATATACATTCATATATGTATCGACAGATACAAACCACACATACACACAGAGATATATATATGTATATGTATGTATCGACAGATACATACATACACATACATATATGTATCGACAAATACAAACCAAATACACAAAAAGAGCGAGAGAGAGAGAGAAAGAGAGAGAGAGAGAGAGAGAGAACGTACGCAGAGATCGCCTGTACACAGAGATTCAGATCGCACAACCAGATCCACCTCGCAGCACAATGAGATCGACCACACAGCACAATGAGATCACCATAACGAAGAGAAATCGAGATCGCAGAGACGAAGATTTGATTTTCTTTTTTTAACGGAGCAAAAATTTGATTTTTCACGTATATATAGATCTCAAAACAAAGGGTAATACAGTCATTTACAAAGTACGAAAATAAAAAATGGGACCTCTGGGTATAAAACTTAAAAAACTGTGGACCTATTAATCTATTAAAAATATATTGGGATTAGAAGGGAAATACATCCCCTACATAGGACTACATAGTAATTTTTTCAAAACTTTTTAATTTATTTTTTTGGGCTTGTTTTTGTGCAGAATTGATCCTGATCATGGGGCTGTAGAATATTACTTCCAACTGTCAAGGGATGTTATCAGACCCAGCCCATGTTTGTCATCATTTTGGTGTTTGTCAAAATAGATTTGCTTTTCAGTAACATAAAATTTTCAATAAGTATTGCTCCGTCCGTCTTAAAATATTGATCCCTTATTTTATTTTTTATTATTCTAAAATATCAATTTTTTTTCAAAAATCAAGTACAAAAATAATATAAATTTTCCATTTTGTCCTTCTTTTAAATTCACTAACAACATAAAAAGTACAATTATGACATTGATATTTTCCAAAAAAATGTACTATCAAATAATAATTCTGAAAAATCAATTTTTTTTAAAGTGTAATAATTATACTACCAAAAAAGGTTGGATTTCCTAAAAAGAACCATTATTTTGGGAAATATTATGAAGTAGTTTTGTGGGTCTCACAATTTTTTTTTTTATATCATGATATTATTATATAAGATTATAGATACTATGAAGGTAATTTTTAGTTAGAATGGAATAAAGAATATAGTAAAATTTGAAAGATTATTTTCATCATTGGCAGAGGAAGATAATTATCATAAACAATGGGATTTAATAATTTTCCAAATAGAAGATTAATAATCGGATTATAAAATCAATCAGCCAAACATCGGATTAAACAGAATATATAATAAACCTCAATACACGGGGAAATAAAACTTATACGCAAGTACAGAGATTCAAACCACAAAATTTCTAGTGAATCGTGTTTTGATTTGTTGTTATATTGCTTGTTTAAGTTGAACTATGTTTAAATTTATTTATTTTTAGTTTGATTATTTGTTTCTTATTTTCATTTCAACTTTTTTTTTCTATTTTTTTTTTCTAGTTACATGTAGAATGTACAAGAATCTATGGATTTCCTGGTTAAATGAGATAAAAATCTGTAGGACAATTAAGTAACTCACTAAGTGCATCCCTATTAGTTTCAATAAATTTTGAGTTAAATTTTAACTTAAAATCCACTTTTACTATTTTAGCTAGTCACATTTTTAATACTCACTATATTAAACTTTCTATTCTAATTCAATATTATTAAAATATTAATTTCTTATTGTATTTCTTATTTTTTCTTTTTTTATTAAATTGATGAAGTGTAGTCCAAATAATTCTCAAAAAATACCAACAAAAAAAAAAAATTTGCCGTTGACCAACCGATCGACCGGTTAGACTAATTTTCGGCATTTTTCTTCTTCTGCTACAAGCACTCACGGGACATCCGGTGGGATATCCGAGAGGACTGTAGGACAATTAAGTAACTCACTAAGTGCATCCCTATTAGTTTCAATAAATTGAGTTAAATTTTAACTTAAAATCCACTTTTACTATTTTAGCTAGTCACGTTTTTAATACTCACTATATTAAACTTTCTATTCTAATTCAATCTTATTAAAATATTAATTTCTTATTGTATTTCTTATTTGGGGATGTACCAATAAATTCCAAATTAATAACTTATACACTGTTTAGTCCTAAAAGTTTTCTTATAGACTGAAAGGTCCCATTACAATGTTTCAAACATCAGATTAATGTTTCGAACATTAGATTTCGAACATCAGATTAATGTTTCAAACATTAGATTGATGTGCAAATGGGACTAAATGGAGCATAAGAAAACTTTTAGGACTAAATGGTTCAACTTTTTAGAAACTAGGACTTATGGGTAAATTTTCCTTCTTATTTTTTCTTTTTTTATTAAATTGATGAAGTGTAGTCCAAATAATTCTTAAAAAATACCAACAACAAAAAAAATTTGCCGTTGACCAACCGATTGACCGGTTAGACTAATTTTCGGCATTTTTCTTCTTCTGCTACAAGCACTCACGGGACATCCGGTGGGATATCCGAGAGGACATTTGGATGGACGACCAGTTTAAAGATTTTGGCCCAATTTTGCTCCAGAAAATATAATAAAAAAACATGTAGCGAATGAACAGTGCCTCAACAAAGTTGTTGAGGTACTGTAGCAAATTTAACAAAAAATTAATTTAGAAAAAATTTGTTGAGACTAATAGAGGGAGAATTTAATGATTTATTAGCTATATTTTAACTTTTTTTATTTTGATGATCCTGATGCGAATGCTCTAACAGCACTGATTCAGTGCTCTAATTTTGGAGCACTAATGGTAGTTTTAATGAGTTGGCAGTGCAACAAAAGTCAAACTATCACATTAGTGATGGGGTCCACGTCTGCCACGTCATTAGTGGTCTATTAGTGGTGTGGAATTAATGGTCTCAAACATTTTTCAACTCATTAATTAGGTGACTTCAAAACGAAAAATGCTTTGGTGCTCTAATTCTTGAGTTCTAAAGCTTGCTCTAGTGAGTTGACAGTGTGCTTCATCCATAGTGATATGATGTTTTGGTCTATGTTTGTTTTTATTTAATTTTTTTTATTCATTACCATATCATTAATACTCCATTAAAATATCAAAATTAACATTATGAATCATTGTTGCTTCAAAACCATACTTCTCAATCAAGTTTACCAAACAACAAAACCTTTCCTTAATAATTTTCTTGTGCACTAATTAAATGCCAGAAAAATCCCTAATTAAAAGATCCAATTAAGTACTAGAATACCTATTGTAGCTTCTTCTCTTTTTTTAATATTTTAATGCCTTCACTAAATATTTAAAAAAAAAAAAAGAACTTTAGAAAAGAAATCTAAATCTACTAAGCATTTGAAATATGTGAGTCTAAAAAGAACTTTAGAAAAAAAATCTAAATCTACTAAGCATTTGAAATATGTGAGTCTCACTTAAAATGAACATACAAAAAATATTATTATTATGATATTGTTTGTCTGTATATTTGTAATTGGCTTATTATTTTAATAATAAAATTAATCCAAATTTTGTGCTATTCAAAAACAATAATAATAAAATAATGTATCACTACGCATAATATTTTGATAATTTTTTTTTCTTAAAAAAAAAAAAAAGAAAAAAGGTGGGGGTAAAGCAACAGTATTTGTTACCAGAAGTCTAGAATGTGGTGACACTAATATACGGCCAGAATACTCGTTACTAGAAATAGGGTGATCCTAAAATTACGTTTCTCCTTTTACTGTAAGAAATTTGGAAAATTATTGAATATTTTTAGAATACCACTTATTTATACTCCCTAACTAATTATTATTTAATATCTCTCTTCTATTTCTCAATTATCTAACACAATATCTCACTTATCTACAATTTTCACCAATCATAATGTTATGAATACCACGTGTCCATATTCCGAGATTACTGAATAATTATCAAGAAATTTCATGTTCAACTATAAAAATTAATTTCAAAAATATATATCTATATATAAACCACTATTATAATGTGTGAAAAAGATAATTTTATCCTTTGGACGTAAATTGTGGCGGAAAAAGCAAACGGTCAATTTAAAAGTTAATTTATTAATTAAAAAAATTATTTTGTTCATTTTGACAAACTCATTTTCAATCAAACATTCAATTTTAGCTATTTAAAAAATATATTAAAAAAATAATAAATAAATAAAAAATGTGTCAAACAAATTAATTTTTATTTACAATTATTTTTAGTCAATAAAATATTTTTTAGTTAATTTTCAAGGAAGCCTTATTTCTTTTTTAATTTTTATTTTAATTTACAAAAAAAATAACAAAACAGCAAATGGGTTTTCTCGTACATCAACAGTGTGGGTGTTTGGGAAGTGGGTTTTGTTTGTAAGTTTTTTTAGTTGTAAGATGTTATTGAAGAAAAAAAAATTTTGTGTTTAGGAAGATAGTTGAATTTTTTTGTAGTTGAATGTGATATTTATGAGAAAAAAAATGAAATGATTATGAGGTTTAATGTGATATTTTGTTTAGATTTATTTATTTTTTTTAATTTTATAATTAATTTGTCTTTTAATGAAAAAAATCAAAAAATAAACTTCCCAAACACCGCCAGTATATATATGTATATATATATATATGAGACCAGCAGCGAAACCTTTTCATCCCCAAACAATTTCAAAAGAATCAAATATAATCATACACATACATAATACATACAATACAATAATACATATATACATACAGAGAAAGGGAGAAGGACGCAAGAGAGATGAAAAGTGGTCAGGTCATTCGTTGCAAAGGTCTGATCTTCACATTTCTTTGTGTTTTTGGTTTCTCTGTTTCTCAACTGGTTTTTCTTTGATTCTGTTTGTTTTTTATCTTTTTGGGCTTATAATATATCATCAACAACGTTATAATATCATAATCCTTGTGCCTCGAATTTAACTACTTCGAATGACTTAAACTTGTGTTCAGCAGACGATCGGATAAAACATTTGTTTATTACATTTGTCACTTTGTCGATCACGGCTGTCAATTTTTTTGCCAAACGACCGGCCAGACAACCGACAAAATAAAATTCGAACCATTCGAGATAAGTTGAAATTCGAACTGCGTAACACAAATTCGAGACACTTACCATTGCTCTTATAATATATAATTTCGATGAAATAATATGATTAATGTCATCTGAAACCTTACATCACATCAAATCAAAATGTGGGCTATTATTAACATTACTTTTAAATGTATAATTTGACGAGGCTTCTCTCTCTCTATATAATGACTTACTTGTCCTTTCCCTCCCTGCCCTGATTGATTGTGTGGGAATATGATGGTTTGCAGCGGCCGTGGCATGGGAAGCAGGGAAGCCATTGGTGATGGAAGAGGTGGAGGTTGCGCCGCCACAGAAAATGGAAGTTCGTGTGAAGATCCTTTTCACCGCCCTCTGTCACACTGATGTTTACTTCTGGGAAGCCAAGGTAAATTAAATTAATTCACTAATTAATCTTCAAATAATGCTTGGGACCCTCTTTTGGGGTCACCCCTCACCCCCCTTTTGCCACGTGGCAGGGGGTGATTGGTGGAGCAGGAAAAAAAAAGAAAAAGAAAAAGAAAAGGTAACCAATGAGAGAGAGAGGGGGTCAAAGGGGGTGGGAGAAAAAGGAGGATGAATCATTACTCTTTTATTCGAGTAATGTTAGGGATCATGAAAATAATCATGAAAGATTTTTCACCTTTAGATTACATATACAATAAAACATCACGCACTAATCAAAGGATAAAAAAATTTCATGATGCATTTCATGATATTTTTTTCATAATTCCTAATATTATTCATTTCATTTACATTTCACCTATATTTTTTCTTACCCTTTCTCTTTTCATTTTCAAATTCCTTCCCAAATTCAACAATCAAACACAGTTAAAAGTTTTTTTTGTACATTTCATGTAGTAACACAGTCTTCCATTTCACTACTCTCAACTATAAACAAGGAAAATGATATGCACACCTATTTTTTAGATCTAATGATATGTAAGTGAGGTTATCTTTGATATTTTAATTGATTGTTGGGTTTTGAAAATTAGGTCCAACTTAACAACAAAACCTTCTAAACTTGCATAATTCTATAGCATCCTTAAACTTTCCTCCATTTTCTAGTTATTTAAAAATCTTAACAATGCATTGATGTCCTCTATTTTTCTTAATTAATTCATATGAACTTTAAAAATAAAAAATTAAATAAAAATAAAAATCCTTCCCCATATGATTGATGGTTGATTGTTGATTTTTCTGTTCATTGATCCCTAGACATCTTAAGACTATTCCATATATTGAGCGGTGTGGAGAGGATGAGATGTACGCAGAAACTACCATATCAGTGGAGGAATTTACAGATGGTAGTTTTGGATTTGTTAATATTGTTTTGGGACTGAAATTTCTTTAATTCTATTTCAGGGACAAACACCTGTTTTTCCTCGCATATTTGGTCATGAAGCTGGAGGGTATGAACATCCCTAGTGATTTATTCAACAATGAAAACAAATTTACACCAACAAATAATACTTTTATTTGTACAGCTTTGTACTTAGTATTTTGTTAAAATTGTTTGTTTTAATTAGAATTGTGGAGAGTGTGGGTGAGGGTGTGACCGAGCTCCAACCTGGCGATCATGTCCTCCCAGTTTTCACCGGGGAGTGCAAAGATTGCCGCCACTGCAAATCACCAGAGAGCAACATGTGTGACCTCCTCAGGATTAATACTGATAGAGGGGTTATGCTTAATGATAACCAGTCAAGGTTCTCCATCAATGGAAAGCCTATCTATCACTTTGTTGGCACATCCACGTTCAGCGAATACACGGTCGTGCACGTTGGCTGTCTTGCCAAGATTAACCCTGAAGCCCCGCTTGACAAAGTTTGCGTTCTCAGCTGTGGAGTATCGACAGGTATTGAAAACAAAAACCCACATTTATTCCATAATGAATCATGATTTTTAATGATGGGTTTTGGTTTTGTGGCTCGAAGGACTTGGAGCGGCTCTAAATGTTGCCAAACCAGCAAAAGGGTCAACCGTTGCCATTTTTGGATTGGGGGCTGTAGGCCTAGCCGTAAGTAAATATTGCTGTTTCTTGTTCTTCTTGTTCTTGTTCTCTTTCATGTTATATTTTGGCAAAAATTATCAGGCTGCTGAAGGGTGTCGGATTGCTGGGGCTTCAAGGATCATTGGAATTGATTTGAATGCCAATAGATTTGACCAAGGCGAGTTCATTAATTGAATCTACAATTTCCCAAGTTCTCAAGCTTGCTTCTATTTACTGATTGTTGATGATGGTTCAAATTTCTTTGCTTCAACAGCAAAGAAGTTTGGTTGTACTGAGTTTGTGAACCCAAAAGATCATAACAAGCCTATTCAAGAGGTTAGTTTCAAAACATTTCATATTTTGTGTTGTGTTTGATCTTAAATTGAAGTATTGATATTGTTAGTTACTGAGATTTGAAATTTTGTTGATTGGCAGGTGATTGCTGAGATGACGGATGGAGGAGTGGACCGTAGTATTGAATGTACTGGAAACGTCAACGCCATGATCTCTGCATTTGAATGCGTTCACGATGTAATAATAAGCGATGATATACTTTCAATACTAGTATCAACTAATAGTAATGTGTTATTCTAAAATTGGGATATATGATTTTTTATTTTCCAGGGTTGGGGAGTTGCTGTGCTTGTTGGCGTGCCAAGCAAAGACGATGCGTTCAAAACTCATCCTATGAATCTGTTGAATGAAAGGACTCTCAAGGGCACCTTCTATGGCAACTACAAGCCCCGCTCTGACATTCCATCTGTCGTGGAAAAGTACATGAACAAGGTAAAATCTATCTCACACATCTTATTATTTGAATAAATCTGAAACTAGGAAATTTCACATTGATCAAAAAAACCAATTGTAGGAGCTGGAATTGGATAAATTCATCACCCATGAAGTGACATTTGCGGAGATCAACAAGGCATTTGAGTACATGCTGCGTGGTGAGAGTCTCCGCTGCATCATTCGCATGGAAATTTAAGTTCTGAGTTGAGGGAGTGACTGCCACAACGACCGTGGTTGTTTTTTTTTTTTTTTTGAGTGATAAAAAAAAGACTATATGTATAATAAGTCTGTTTGGGGAAGCTTAGATTACTACTTGGAGACTCTGTTTTAATATTAAGTTTGCTATGATCTATGTCACTTGCATTTTGTGTTCATAATTTCTCTTGGGGTTTTGGAAAACAAATTTTTTACATATATTTATTTATTCATTCACTTCATGTAATGAGTTGAATCAAATTAAATTTATACTTTAATTTTAGTTGATGATTTATTTTAAATTATTAAACTCCATTCATTTTGGACCCAATTGATTGAATTGTGACCCATTAGTAACCATGCAATAGTGTTGTGGTTTTATTATTATTTTTTGATTACCATAAAAGAGTTGTGAATATTTATATTGTGTACCATTCAACGAAATATATTATGTTGTGAGAAAATATTATATTTATGTTAAAATGTATTTTTAATTGATATATATATATATAGTTAGATATTTGTGATTAGATATTTGTTTAGGTGTATATATCTATAAATAGTAACCAAAAAGGATTTTTTGTTCAACTTTTGGGAGAATGCCGTGAGGAAGAAAGAAAAAAAGGGTTCTAATATTGGTTTTTCATGGGTTTGATCTAGTGTAACTCATTTTTGACCCCTAGTGCTTTAGATCAAAACGTAGAGGGCGGAAAATGCGCCGTTTGGCTCCGAGCAGATTTAATTTCTGTTGCCAAAAAATTTGAAAGCTTCTTGGCTTGAGGTAGGAATTTTTCCTATACTTCTTTATGCACTTTTACTGATTATATGGAGCTTAGAGTTGTATATAATTTAATTAGAATTTTTGAAAAATTTGTGATTTATTTGTTTAAAAGAGAAATTTTGAGAAAAATAAAGAGTTGATACCCAAATTGCGAAAGTGTAAACTTGGAATATGTTTGTAAGGTTATGAAATAGCTATGTTTTAAATTTGAACAAAACGGATTTCGATTCGATCGGTTTTGAAATTTTTACCGGTTTGCGACCAAAAGAGCATTTTTAAAGAAAACAAAGGAATTATGTTTAACTTTTGGGACTTTTGATCAAAATAGGATATCATAATTGAATAATGCTTCGAGAATGAGTTTGGAAAGAAAATGATGTTTTCTTAGGCATTAATGGTATTATTTTGCTTAATGTATCCGTTGGAATAAAACCGACACGGTTAGAAATGGACCTTGAGAGGTTACCGGACGTGATTGTGATACGAAAACTAGTGTAGTTGTTCATATTTGATGAAATGTGGAATAGATTATATTTATCGAAAATTTTGGAATGTAATTGTTTAAATATCTGTTTAAAAATATCTGTTTTGGGCTATCGGTGGAGGATAACCACGATTGTTATAAAAATGCATGAGACTTAGGTAAATTGAACCACATTCTTCATTTGTTGCATTGGACATTGCATTACATTCATTTCATTAGAAATGTATCTATTTTTTAGAAATGTTTGGAAATGTATCTGTTTGCGAAAAGATGAATATTTAGTGAATCTGGGTAAGGGGTGTAGAACTGCGCGGTTAGGTGTCGAGCCTTCCAGTTTACTGGTAAAAATGACAGTGGTAGTGCATTAGGGCCTACTTGCAGACACTCACCTAGAGATTTACAGAGCCTGTATTCGTGTAATAGATATGGTTTAAAATGGAAATGGTTTTATATTTGTTGTTGCATATCAGCCTTGCATGCTTTATAAAAAGAGAGATAAACTATTTTATCATGAGCATGGCATGAGCATACTCCTCTTTAGTCTTGCCATGGTCTATATGTTGTGTAGTGTATCTCTACTGGGCTGTGACTCACCCTATAAAGGAAACCATTTCAGGTACAAGTGATATGCCTCCGCCAAGGCACTGCCTTGAAAGGACTCGGCGTTGAGGCTCCATTTTTGTTTTATGGTTATTTATTAAATGTAAGCCCAGGACTGTATTTGTGTTGAGTTGAAACTCCATTTTGTATAACCAAGAATGTTCTCGGATAAATTTGTAAGCCTGTAGGGCACTTATCATCTATTTGGCTTCCATTTCATATTTGTTGTAAAATGCATGCTTGTGATTAAAATTGGAGCATTGAGATGTGAATAGCATGTATTTGGCATTTGGGATTAAATGGAAATGGATATATGGAATAGTTAGCTATAAATATGTTTTTGTCTATCAAGTGGGTTTGTTGTATAAATGGATATACCTTGCCCAAATTTTTAAGGCGTTACAACTTGATATCAGATCATACCGGGTTCAAATACTTTGGGTACGTGGGAAGTGGTTAGTACCATAGTGGGTTTATCGCGCTTGATAGAGATATCTGTATGATGAGATGCTATGTGATAACATGCTTATGTGATTATATGGGTATGGGGTTTGATTTCTGAGATGTTGATTGGGTCTGTGAGTTCCTGGAAGTCTAGTCAGAAGAGCACTTGATCACTGCTATTTATGAAAGGAACTCTAGCAACGTCATGGGACAATCATTATCTAGAAATAAAATCTGTATGTGCTTATGTAGAATGAATTACCTATTGTCCATTGCCTTAAGACGTGGGTGAGTTAGCTTCAGCACAATTGTGATTTGTGCTAATCTCGAGTGTTACCTTTATTAGGATGTCAAGACGCAAAAGGGACAGTGGTAGGCGTGGTAAGCCTAGGAGGCACGAGATGCCAATACCCGATGAGATTCCAGCGTAGGAGGAGGGGACAGGGCAGGAAAATGTGGCTGAGCCAGCTGGGCAACAAGCCATGGATGCTTTGGCACAAGAGATAGTAGGGGCACTAAACATACTTAGGGCTGAGAACCTAGCACAGGCCCCAGCTGCCCCAGTTGCAGAGACAGGACCACTCCAACTAAAAAGGGAGTTCTTCTGGACCAATCGGGATATTTTTGTAGGAGATCGTAATGAGCCACTGAAGGTTGATGAGTAGCTAGAGCAGACGGTTAAGACGTTCGAGATACTAGACATTGAGGACGACGCTTTGCGAGTGACCTTGGCATCCTTTCAGCTAAAGAGAGAAGCGGGTCAGTAGTGGAAATACAAGCGAGGATGTATTAGAGTGACCTAGGAGGCCTTTGTCAACGCCTTTTAGGAGAAGTATCTGCCTGCTACTGTCAGAGAGAGGTTAAAGGAATAGTTCAAGAACCTCAAACAGCAACTTGGCACACAGGTGGCGGAGTTCGAGGCCACTTTTGCTAGTTTGTCCAGATTTGCTCCTGGGCTCCTAAGCTTGTGGCGACAGAGGAGCGCCGTTGTATCGAGTTTGAGACTCGACTAAGAGATGAGCTTACCTACTATGTGGACGGGTCTATGACAAGGGAGTACAGCCGTCTTGTTGAGGCAGCGGCACATATGGAAACCCGGTTAGGAGCTGGACAGAGGGAGATGAGAGGTTTCAGGTTCAGAGGCCAGGAGATACATGGTGAGGCCCGAGACAGCAACAGGCAGAGAGGTTTTACACCACAACAGTTTCATGGGGCACAATCTAGGTCCACTTTTCCAGTGCCAAGTTCAGGGGCAGAGAGAGGTGGCTAGGGAGGATTTTTTTGTTTCAAGTGTGGCCAGTTGGGTCACAAGTCCTTTTCTTGTCCATAGAAGGAGGGAGGACAACGGTCTGTTCCGTCTTCAATCTGCCTACCAAGCCAGAGTCAAGGAAAGGGGTAGTCTTTGACTTGCTTTTAATGTAGACAGGCAGGAGACATGAAGAGGTACTGTCCATAGTTGGGTGGCACACCTAGTGCATCTGGATTGAGGCAGACTCAGAGTCACCAGCCAGCATAGTTGGCGCAGGCCTTGAGGGCCACTCCAAGAGCCTTTTCAACTCAGTCTGTACATCTGGCTTATGCTCCGAGAGGGGAACAGGTGGATCAGAGACCTATTGGATGTGTGTATATTGTTACCACCCCAAAATTAGTGCCAGCACCTTCGGTTATGAGGTACTTTCTTGTTCTGCAATTCTTTTGCCAATGTATTGATTGACGCGGGTTTATCACATTCCTTTATCTCATCTGCATTTGCATCAGCATTGGAGTTAGAGTTGGCTCGGTTAGCATTGCTACTCTGCGTAGAGTCACTGGTTGGGGGTGAGATTGTGTTAGAACAGGGATGTCGGGATTGTGATATAGAGGTTGCCGGTCGTCGACTTCCATTTTCTTTCGCTTTGCTTGATATGTTGAGTTTTGATGTTATACTGGGTATGGATTGGTTGTCTACGTATCGGGCTGTTATAGACTATTACCGTTAGAGGGTTACTGTGTATACCTCGAGCGGTGACTACTTTTATTTCTTAGGAGATCAGGTTGATAGGGCTTTGTTACCGGTTTGTGACCCGCGTGGTCGAGGCGAGCTTAGCCTCTTTCTTGTTACATTCTTGGGGGCAGAGAGTGATATAGTTCGAGTTGAGTTACCGAGGGTAGTCTGTGAATACCTAGATGTCTTTCCTAAAGATCTTTCTGGTTTACCACCTCACCGAGAGATTGAGTTCTCTACTGACCTAGTGCCGGGCACGGCACCGATTTCCATGGCTCCGTATAAGTTTGAACCTGCTGAGTTGAGTGAGTTGAAGATTTAGCCCCAGGAATTACTAGACAAAGGTTTTATCCGCCTTAGTACTTCACCTTGGGGAGCACCAGCCCTTTTTGCCAAAAAGAAAGATGGTACATTACGGCTTTGTATTGATTACCGGAAACTGAACTGGGTGACTGTTAAGAACAAGTACCTATTACCTCGTATAGACGATCTGTTTGATTAGTTGAAGGGGTCTTCTTGCTTTTCAAAGATAGACTAAAGATCCGATTATCACCAGCTAAGGGTGAAGGAGGAGGGCATTCCAAAGACAGCATTTTGTACGCGGTATGGCCACAATGAATTCCTAGTCATGCCTTTTGGGTTGACTAATGCGCCGGCCTTCTTTATGGACCTAATGAATCGGGTTTTTCGTGAGTATCTTGATCATTTTGTGGTTGTCTTTATTGACGACGTTCTGATTTATTCACCCTCTGAAAAGAAGCACGAGGAACACTTGTGGGTTATGTTGGAGTTGCTTAGAGTCCATCAGTTATATGCTAAGTTCGAGAAGTGTGAGTTTTGGCTGAAAGATGTGAACTTCTTAGGCCATATGGTATCTGGAAAAGAGGTGACTGTGGATTTCTCCAAGATA